TCCTGAGAATTATTCCCCGGCAAGGCAATCGACCGAACAAGCTCGCAGTATATTTCGAGACTTTCAGGACCTTGTTACAAATAATGACGAAAAAATGTTGACTTTAGTCTTACAAAAGATGCTGGTCAAGTTGCAAACCCAAATTGGTTTCCCTGTAACTCGATGACAATTAATTATAATATCATCATACCTTGCGGCGCGGCGGACTGGATCTTGAGCTGAATCTGTTGACCCACTGGAATCACTGCATTAGGCTTTGGTTCTAAGACTTTGACCTTGTATAAGGGAGGAGTACTATCAACAGCAGCAGCAAATACGGAGCAAGAACTGCATAGGATGGTAACCAACAAAAGCAGAAGAGCAAAGTGGATGTAGCGTGCCATGCTGTTTAATGAATGTAATATGACAATGTAATATGGCGTTTGGTTATCGATTGTCAGCTAAGGGAGGGGTAAGGCAAGTATGGAGAAAAGGGTAGATGGAAGATAGGAGTCCGCTTTCGATGAAATGAGATGAGAGCTCAAAGTCTTTGCTACATGCGCTATTTATTAACAATTCTTGCTCAGCCACTGTGATTAAATAATTGGACAGCAAAATGAAGGTAAATTTAATCTTGTCGGAAAAGGAAAAATAAATATTAGAACGTAAATAAGCTTAAAAACCATGCTAAGTCAAATTGTCGTGGCTGGGCTACAGCCACACCAAAAATAAAGTACATTTGACACTGTTTGTCAACGAATAACTGGACAAGAAAGCTTATGCACAAGGTAAATTAATGTACTATTTTTAGTAATGCCGCATCCCTGCATAGATAGCTGTCCACATTAAGAATTACTCGAAGAAAATTGATATACTTGGAAATAAGCCAATGTCGATCAGTGTGGCATGCCGAAGCAGACTTTTGTCCGCTTCGGCCATCCTCAAAATCGGGATCGAACTCTTTCCGACAAATTTCTGACGCTTGATTGGTTAATCAGATTGACAATAATCAGTGTCGAGTTCATTGATTAAATCGGGAGGCAATCATTTCGTCGACAATCATTTCACCGACATCATTTCGCCGACAAATGTTTACCAACATTATTTCGAAGTTATCCTTTTTAGGTAATTAATTGTCGACGAAATAAACTGTCGGCGAAATGATTGTCGAATTGTTTGGATATTTTCCAGTCAAATTCTTAAAGTCTACCAATCACACTTTATTAAAAACATCTAGTACTTTACATTGTTTGTATTATTCAGGTAGTTCTATAGTCCGTTCATAAACTCGCTGCATGCACTAAATTTCTTCAAGCATGATGATACTCTTGGCAACCGACTGTATGCTGAACTGAATTTGTGTCAGCTGCGATGACTTTGATCTAAGAATGCGTCAAAAATATGATGATATAATACAATACGTACTGTGATTTTGCGCTTAACAGGCACTCGGTAACTACCGGTGTCAAAAACTTCTTATTCCTTTGCAATTGTTTTGTCTGTCATATTGGTAAGATATTCATGCACCATCCACACAGCACACCAGTTAACATCAACGAGAATTTACCATAAAAATACTTGTGGGTCCTTTTGTGGGCGCAAATCTTTCTATTCCTGAATTAGGTAACAAAATTACGCCACACCAGACACCAATCAATATGGAACTTTTCTCACACGTCAGTTGGATTGATAAATAAATGATATATAACGTTCGAACAAATGCTGTGCTTGAATTATTGGACGTTGAGCTCACCCACACATTATGCTTATCGAACGCGATTTTGCCTGTTAAGTAGATTATAATAGTAGCGGTTTACGGTTACATAGTAAAATGTAGTCGTATAATCGTACGATAAATCATTGGTACAAATTTTCGACATTATGGCTAGAACGTTATCTTTGATATTTGTATTTGGAGGAATGGGAGACATATGAATTTTCAGCGGCGTTGCTGCCTTTGCCTGAACAGAATGATATAACTGCACGGCAACTAAGAAGACTCGCCACAAAAAATAGCTAATTTTATTAGGTTGTCTGCAGGTAGCCACGCAAGTGCGCATACCCTGACTCTCGCAATACCTACAAAAAATACTTAGTTTTAGCAGTTGAATTATGTGTTTGTTTGTGAATAACAATTAATTAGTTACCTCGATTCCTCTAGCGCCATGCCCAAAGTCAACATCAAAACCCTCCTTAAATTTCTCTAATGTGCATCTCCGAGATAATATGACTTTATCAAGAGCTCGAAATAATGTTTAGTTCATTGCGCAGTTTGATTGGACAACTCGGGGTATAGAAAATGAAACTATCCTCTATGGTCCCATGAATATCTTACCAATGTGCAGACAAAACAGTTGCGAAAGAAAATAACAAGATTCTGCACTGGTAGCTACCGAGTGCCTGTTGAGCACAAGATTACAGTACGTATTATATTATATTATCGATAATTGTTAATATTATATGCATGCTTATTGTCAACTTTTTTATTTGGATCAAAATTGTCGCAGCCGACACAAATCTTAGTTCAGCATACAGTCGGTTGCCAAGAGCGTTATCATGCTTAAAAGAAATTTGGCTTTGCCATGAATACGATGCTGGTGAAAGCAAAAATTTTTTTGCTAAACCGTGCATTTAGTGAATATGGCGACGATTTTTATGAACGGGGCTGTAGACTACCTGAATAATGTAAATAATGTAACGTACTAGATTTTTAATAAAATATTGATTGGTAGACTCCAAGAAATGACTAAAAAAGTATCATTAGAACAACATTAGACAAAAAGGTAAACCGCGTTGGGTAATAATAATAATGAAATGAATGTAATGTGTGGTAATATATTTCACATAAATTGTAATTAACCACAAGCGATAGACAGCACAGCATTTTCAGATAGGCATTGCATTATATTGAACAATGTTTGAATTAACATAATGCTTAAGATGGTACGTTAAAACGATGGAACCGCACCGCAAGATTAATTTAATATGACTCTGAATTTGGAAAAGTAACTTTAATGGACGAGTGAGAGGATATCAATAAATTACCATTCCGAGAAACCTTATTTTGTTTCCATAAACTTCCACTTTCTGAATTACGAATTATGGGACTATATCAGTTCTGTACATTGTGACACTGCGTTCAAGACAAAGACTTTATTCATAAGTAATCGAGCTATGACCTAATTGTGTACCAATTGTCTGCTCCGTCATGTGCGTGTATACTTGTCAGATAAATACGCAAGCCGAACGTTTTTCCCTACTTTCCATCATACTTCCTTGACAACTACACCGATATTAATATTACCCATGTCACCAGTAATTGCGATTAATTCACGTGCTGTTAATGACACGACTGCAAGCTTTGACGAGTTTATCAAAACTGTGTCTTTCCGTAATGGCTGAGATGCTTTCTTTAGTCTCTGGATAGTATGGGTATTACGTGGTAAGTTTACTTGTAAACAATCAAAGAATTATCAATTACTTTGGTGCTAACGTTTTATACTCAGGTTGTTGCGACTCTATTTCTCACACATGATAAAGTTGACAATAAAAACGGTAATGAAGCGTCTACCGGCAAGTGTTTTCATGTTAGTATACATTTGTATTGAAGGTTGAGGTCTTTATTCAGCGCACTGGATAAACCCCTGGGTTATATTGATATATCCTAGACTCGATAGTAAAGTCTTGATATAGTAAATTTCGCGTTATAGTCAAGAATTCCTCTGAACAAAAAACCGAATTATTAAATTTTTCCTCGATAAAATGAAGTTTCATAGTAAGTCTCGATATAGTAAATTTCGCGCGTTATAGTCAAGTTTCCTCTCAAACAATATTAGTAAATTGTTCTCGATATAGTGAAGATTGTACCACTTGATGGATTTTGTCCAATCATAATACAAATTTGAGAACTGATGACAATGTAACTGCTCGTGAGATACCAACGGACGAAGAAATCGAGATATGTACCCACTATCGCTACGATATCATCTTACATGAGTACCCTGGGGGCTAAATGAACAAAGGAAATCCCCCCCGATACACTCGTAAGTAAAATACGGTAGTTTGAATTATCTTGAAAATAATTATACATAACACATTGCGTATAAAGAATACTCATGCTTACGTATTGTCTTGTTTACAGTTAGTGCTAGTCACTCCGAGTTGTGAATACTTTTGAAATTGTAATAAGTATCCTTTGAAGTTGAGTTTTCTTTTATCTAGGACTTAAATTTGTCGAAAAGAGTTCTTTTGTCTATTGGCAAGAGAGCGCTCTACCTGAAATAATGAGAATTGAAACAGGAGATCCGTCAGAACAATGCGATGAAGTTGTTTTATTGATTGCTAACACCACAATAAACTGTAAGTATCATTATTTCGATACCCTTTCTAACTGTGATAAAGGGCTGTTTTAAGAAAGAGATTTTTGATGAATGACCTTAATTGTTAAGGGTGAATGATCTTATCACGATCGGGTACCATTTTTTTTTCACAAGTTTGAGTTTAGTGATTTAAAAGTAGAAATTTTCGGACACACCGCTTTCGTGTGTAAAAGTGTGTTATTCAATAAATTCGTTAGTTCAGTTCCCCAGCAAGTTCGTAACATTCTCCATTCCATTGTTGACTAAAAGAAAGCTGTGCATGAGACGTGTCTCGAGACGAAAGAGGCAATTTTATTTTCACAATACAGAACGGAGACAAGTTGGGAAAGTTTCTTAACTGGAGATTCGAAAAAAATATATGAATAAGCATGTTTCTTCTAGCTGCAACCTTTAATATAATGTGGTATGTAATTTGCAAATTCTCATTGTGATTTCGGAACGTTTTATTGGGCACGTGTCATGTGACTTTTAACGATACGCAGTTGGGAACATATACAAGTACTTGCAAACAATAAAGTAAGTATTTGAATCAAGTTAAGCAGCCTTTAAACTAACGACAGGACAACTTTCCAAATGTGTGACAGTACGTTACGCAGAAGATGCGACAAATACATACTGTATGCATTGAATTGGTGCAAATAGATAATAGGATGATACGGCATACATTATTCGCTTAATCGTCTCATGGTTAGGCATTTCATTAGAATACGTGCTTCAGCTCATATGTTAACAATATTGCGAGAATTACATCATTTGTTTTATTTAATAAACACTACAATTAAACATAATTTTGAGTTCATTAAAATTATAAAATAGGGTAGATGTTATATCGTACAGCTAGCGGTAAGATATCTATTCACTTCTCAGAACACAATAAAGGTCTCTCGTTATTAAGATAAATTGTATCCCATATGTCACTGTCAAAATTATCCCTTCTCATCTTTTTAATAATGTCATCAGTGTAATCCGAAATTGTCACTGCATCTGGACGCTTATCAGGGTCAGAATCACAACACCATTTGGCA